GCTGACATCCTGGAGGATGTTTCTGTTGCAAACATGTCAGGACTGTTGAGGAAGCTTGATTGGCATGAATAATGGGATCAAGTGAAAGTTTTACACAGAATTTGAGTAAAACGGTATCCAAGCAGTTAAAAGTTCAGGTTTTTACCTAAATGTGGCTTTTGGATCACCTCTACCTGTTTGTGTATTTATTCAATCTTTCCACCCATTATGTTTGGCTGTGTTTGGGTGGATATATGTGTTTTGGTGAACTCCTCTTTCTCCCGTACAATCAAAAAGCTTCTGTCAGGTTTAAAGCTGACGAAGCCAAAGACGACTCAGTGAAAACTAAGAAGAAGAAAATAAAGCTTCTTCTGACCTCTGTCCTAAAACCCTCTCCCTTCCTTCTGTTTCTGGCAAACAGAGTTAACCAGTTTTCTCTCCTTAATCTGTTCTTATCTCCCTCTGTGGGATATTTTTCTTTTTCTCCTTGTGATATTTTCTTTCCTCCTTCTCCTCCTGGTCTGGCATTTCTCAGCTCTGCATTCCAGCTGCATGGATGGCCGCGCTCTCCTTCCTTCTGAATTCCTCTTATGTAGCCCTTTGAAGTTGTGTGCCAGTGCTCATACTGCATCTGCCTGATTTCTTGCTGGAGTCCACTTTATTTACATTTGAGGAAGACCGCCGAGGCTTTCCCCCCCTGAGAATTTTAAGGTGGTGCATCTATTTCTGTAACAAAAACATTTAGTTGAATGAATGGTCATTTCTTCAATGTTTACAAAGCTCCTCATCGTGCTCATAAATCCTACTACAGCAAATATGAAACTATTTTCATCCTCTTATTTGACTTATAATAAATGTTTCGGCCAGATTAATTAGTTTCTTCCCTTAAACTAAATGCAAAGATCAATCAATGCCTTAATTTGATATCCACACATTAATCAACTGCCATCTTTGTTTATGCACCTAATTCCTGACAGAAAATAATCACCACAGTATGATGCAGCCACCACCATGCTTGTGCTAGCCTTCTTTTCTACTGTACTTGAAGCCAAAACTTTGTATTTTGTTGAAATATTTAATGAGAGTTTTGCTTCTCCTGACAATTAAAGTTTGTTTCTGCAAAATTCAAGAAGACATCTAGATCTGGCCTCTGCACCTGTTTAGTGTTATAGCAATGGTTTATCTACTGAAGCGCCTTCCCTCATTACTCATTTTGGGTAGATTGTAGAAGGTGCATGATTTTAAAAACCTCCTTACAAATATAGGAAAACACATTATTTGATGAATGTTTATTTATTTTTTTATTTTTTTTTAGGCCAACATCAAAAATCTGTTTCTCTCTGAAGACATTCTCTTTTTTAAGTCCCCTACATGGCTGGTTATAAAGTCCAAGCAGGAGATTTATTACTTAATTTAGAAAATGTATCTTATAAAGGATGGATTTGTGGAATATTAGTTATCCTGGTATTACGTCTTCTCACCTTAGTTGTGGTTTATCTGCAGTTCCTCAGAGACTATACCTGGGATTGTTCTCAAATTAATGATCTCCTTGTCTAAACTGTCAATATTTTTTTTACATAAAATATTGTTTTATAATCCGAATTCTGTTTTTTAACTACTTCCAAACTTTATTCTTCTCTTAATTCTGAAGAAAACCTTTAGTTTTTTCCATGACAGCTGCATTAATACCGTACTTTACTAGTAAGGTTACTTCAGAGGGTAATAGGATTTAATGTATTTTTATTGAGGTGTTATGTGTACGCTGGCAGCTTGTTAAGCCTGCTAAATTTAGTGAATATGGATCCATTTACTGGTGAATTTTACAAACGTTTCTTGTAAAGAGAAATTAGAAAAAAATTACCAATATTTATTCATTCCTTGCATTATAAAGTAATACTCTATTTTTTTAAATTTACGATTAATTTATTTATGTGGAAGGATACTTTGACAGCTGGATCAAGCCAGTGTAATCTCATATATGAGGTGCTGTTGGCAGTAAGATGGTGATTAGTCCAGGAAAAGAAACCAAAATGAAGAAAATAAGAGTCTTTATTCCATCGTCAGCCTCTCAGTGTCGAGGGAAGTCCCAGAAATGTCAGCGATCAGCCTATTTGGGTCTGTGTTAAGCAGCTCAACTGTATGAGTCAGCAAACTAACCCACATTCTCACAGAGGGATACAAGAGAGACAGGAAGATTAAGATGATATAAAACTGTCAATTGTCTTCTATATGTGTCAGTCGGGTTGCAATAAACTCATAGGGAGAGAGAAAGCAAATGGGAATCTTTCCTGGGTTCTTTCGGTTTTACTTGTAATAGCTCCTTTAATGCTAACTGTTATTTCTGTATTTCTGCTTTACCTTGTTATTTATTTGAACCCTTTATCAGTTCTGTACATGTTTCCTCCTTAATTTTCTTCCAATTGCTGTTTAGCTGTTGCTGCAGGAAGGTGATGCAGTCGTTTCTCTTATCTAAGCTCAAGACAATCATCCTTTGTTTTGTTTAGTTCACCTTTTATTTGCAGTTTTCTCTCTTTCTCTTAACTACCTGCATCAGCTCTGGGACCACATCATGACTCTGGGGGTGGCGACCCGGCTGCCGTACGAGTCCCGTGTGACACGTTTAAGCAGACCGCACGATGACATGACTAACGGTTTTAATTCACACTGACTCAGTCCCGGTTGTGTCAGATCTCCTTTAGCCAGGCTAGCTGTGAATATGCACCTGTCAGCTTGCTTTAGTAACACATCTGCAAAGATGACACACATATGCTCTCTCTGTCAGCCTCTGTCTGCGTCCGAGACGTTGCCTAAGAGTCTTGATCCTCACTGTAAGAGGATTTAAAGTACAAAGCAGTGTTTTCCTACATCATATACGATGCAATATGGACTTTATACTTTCTTGCACAGATAATTATCTATGGGATTTTTTTTAATCCAACACAAACGTCCATATCAGTAGGTATTCCTGCACAGATTGCAGAGGGATAAAGTAATTGTACAGAATAGTGACACCTGGCTTTGATGCTTTAAATTACAACCAACTTCTAAATGCCTCCTGCTTCATTCCAGTAGTTTTATGATGAATAATTTAACAAAGCTGAGTTGTTGTAGATTGTTTTCCCTTTTGTTTCTGTCTCTGTTGCATTAACAATAGCTCCACTGTTGATGAGAACCAGAACATTCTGTCTCCTCTGGAACCACAGCTGAGGTTGCACGGTGTATTGGAGGTTTAACCTTACAGCAACATGACTGAAAGCAATTTGCATACCATGAAGAACTGCTTGGACTTTAATTATTTTATCTTGTAATAGAACTATCAGGTTACCAGGCTCTGTTTGCCTGTAATTTATTAATTGACTTTCGTTTTTGTTTTTTGTTAATGCTGAATGAATGAATTTTGCTACACCCTAATTGGACATTAGTTCTTTAACTCTGGAAATGTCCATCATGACAACAAGATTTCAGCCATAATTAATGGTTTCTAGTTGTAGTAGCTAAAGCTTTGAGTTAATTCTGAATCTCTCCTCCTTTGGTCTGAAGTTTATTACCTCAGTTTGGCTTTTATTCAGTTGGAGAAAATTATGGACAATCCACATATTGATCAGTTCTAAGCATTTTCTCAACGCTCTGATCGGTTCGCAGTCACCTGGTGGCATTATGATGCAAATCTGATCCAAAAGCCTTCACTAAACTAAAAGGATGCAGCGCTTAAAGATTGGATTATTTATTTTTTTGCATTAAGAATATATAACGTTTTTTTTTTCCAGGTTTCGCCTCATTGTCCGGCAAACAGAATACATTTTTAAATAGCCTTTTTGCAAAAAAAGTAATATTTAAATGAACATTTTACAGCTGTAGCAAGGTGCACCATTTTCTTTAGAATCAGGAAAATTAGAATGCCTTTATTATCATTATACATGTCACAATAAAATGATCAATATCAGTGCAAAGGCACAGTAGGAAAAAAGGAAATAAGAAAAGTATGTGAAATATATACAATTTAATCATGTAGAAATAAGTGTGAAGTGCGCACAGTCTTGTCAAACATGGTTAATATACAGATTTAGAATAAATATAAATTGCACATAAATGTATGATGTCTATCACTGATTAGAATATTGCATATGATTAGGATTACACCTGAGAAATATCAGTACATGTTAGAGTTCATAACTTAATATGAGGATTACCAATAAATTTAATTCAATTTTTTTTAGCTTGGGTCTGATTTTAATTTTAATTCCTTTAACACATATTTAACCAGAAAAGTAAAATATAAGTAATTAGTGAGGTTTGGATTTAAATTAAAACCCACCTGGGAGGCTAAATAATCTACAATGTGCAATAATAATCATATTGAATTACTGTAAAGTAGAGTGACTGTTTAAAGAAATTTAAAAATAAATAGTGTGAAAATGAAAGCCTGCAAAGCCATCGCAACAGAAGCTGGAATGTATGTCTTATAAACACACATGTAGTGATTTATTATGTTTAACAAAGTGGCATCTTGTTGCATTTTATCAGATATATCCCCCTGGATATGTCTCACTGGATCTGAAGTGTTTGCATCTGTAAAGCGGTTTAGTTCAGGCATTTCTTCACATATTTTATCAGCAGCCGCTGTTAAAGCAAAGCATGCTGAAACGCTGAAAGTTTCAGCTCCGGTGGTTCCCGTTTATCCTCCGCCGAGTAGACAAAAGGATGATGGCAGCCCAGGCAAATGTGCTTTTGCTCTGCAGCTTACCTCGGCTCAACCTGGTGATCCCCAGGAGCTCACAGGTCACCAGGGAAATATAATCCCCACAGCATGTTCTGGGATGAGCCAGAACACCTAAAAAGAAAAGCAGGAGGGAAAAGAACATGCTTTGTGTTGAGATAAAGCTCCTGTTATTACAGCAAAGCGTATGTGAGTTTTAACCAAAAGCTGCTTTATTCTGCTCTTTTTTGTGCTCTATTAATCACCTTATTAACGTCCCTAAATGCTGCCAGTAATGAACCGATGATTTTTCTACCTCTCCCAGCATCTTCAGTGCACCATCCAGGCCTTACAAGATGAGCTCAGGATCCAGCGAGATCTCAATCAGCTCTTCCAATCCGATTACTCTGAGTCGGGTCGACTTGGAGCCCAGCCCATTCCCCCTCAGGAGATGACCGAAGACAACTTCCTCCGTCTCCACAGCGAGTTCGAGCGGCAGGCCAAGGAGCTCTTCCTCCTGAGGAAGACGGTGGAAGAAATGGAGCTGAGGATAGACACACAGAAACACACCCTGACCGCCAGGTATGGATGGACAGAAATGTGACTGTTGTGTAACATCTCCTGGCTGAAAAAACGCCTCAGGCTCTACATGACTTGTGCGTCCTTCCTGTCTGACAGGGATGAGTCAATAAAGAAGTTACTGGAGATGTTGCAGAGTAAAGGTCTGTCATCGCGGGCGGCGGAGGAGGACCACGAGCGAACGAGGCGACTGGCTGACGCAGAGATGACCATCCACCAACTGGAGGGGCTGCTGGAGCAGAAAGACAAGGAGATGCTTCAGCTCAGAGAGGTGTGTGTGATCAGCACGGGGTGCAGAATTTATCTAGAAATAATCCCTCATGCATTTCTCATCCTACATCCCTCTTTTATTCTCTTATTTCTTACTTAAATTCTCACCCTTTTCATTTTATATTCATATTTACCATGCTTCTGTTTTGTCAAACAGCTCCCCCTAGTGTTCATAAAGGTGAAACAAAGCATGGCACTAATGCAAAATCTGCTGATAGGAAAATTATTGCAAATAATAAAAAAAAGTTGCTTCTTATAGATGTTCATTTGCAAAAACTTTCCTTTAAGTATGCTTAAACCATACATTAATAGTTGGTGATTTTAACAGGACAGAATCTGAAAATGATCCTAGCCTGTAATCATTAATTAGGGGCTTCTATCAACAACTGCTTAATGCAGTCCTTTAATGCCCAGCCCTCGTTTGCTATCATTGTTTCTGCACAAATTTCCTGTGTTTTTCAGCTGCTTTCCTCTCATACAGCGTTCAGAGAAATACAGGAACTTCTGTCTCCTGAGGAACTTGGATGCCATTATGCAGTCTTTCAAAGATGATTCCTGTTGAGGTTTTCTCTTACTAATTTCCTGATGTTCTGATGGCACACCTCCTGCTCCCTCCTGGGAGCAGAGCTGCTGTTCATTTAATGAAAGATCTCCGCTATAGTTGAGTTAAATAAACTGAAAAATCAAACCAAAAATTTAAAAACGGCTTTAGAGATGGGTTAGAGATTACAAATCAAAATATCCATTATGTTGAAATTAGAGGTTTTTATTTGGGATGCATGGATTAGGATTTTTTGCTGGTCTTAACCAGCTTTTTTTTTTTTTAAGGCAAAGCAAGTATAACACTGTGTGTGAGCCTTTAGCAGCAACTTTACTTGTGCAGTCATTTAAAAAAACGGTTATTAAAAAGATAATTTTCTTGTTTTGATGTCAATCTATTTATTTATCTTTATTAAAGGGATTTAAATGTGGAAAAACCCACAATGAAAAAAATGACCTTATGTTGCTGTGTTTAGTAACTCAGTAAACATGCATATTCTGGGAATGCAATAAATCAAACAGATGGTATTTATTTCCATACCGAAAATATGTCTGTCATTGTTTCATCATTTATTTTAAGGAGTTGTTTAACTTTGTGGTCATTTTCGCCTGCGTTTCCAGTGACATCTTCCTACTGCCAGCTTCACATGTGTAGGATTTTATGCTTCCTGGCTTTTTGCATTTGCTGCCTTTGTCAAACTGTAAGAAGCTAAAGAAATTCAGCCATGCATACTGTGTCATCTCCTCCTATCGGCTTTCTTCTGTCCCTGCTTGGCTCTTTTCAACTCTGTCCACTCCTTTTGTGCCTCTACATTAAACGTTGCACTCTCCCATCTACCTCTCCTTTTCGCTCCTGTTTCATTAGATGAGCTGGCTGTGATGGACTAGGATCAACCAGATTTGTAGGATCTAGTCACAGATCTCTTAAAATCTGGAGGCAGCTGTGTTTTTAGAAATGTCTTAGAATTTAGGAAATTTAGGATTTTGTTTCAGACTTCGGCTTGTTTCTGTCGAAGATCTTTTATAGTGATTTTGTGAGAGAACTGATCGAATTAGCCTCACCTCAGGCTGTCAGATCGGATTGTTTCCTGAAATTGTGTCAGTGGCATCATCCTCTTTCGACCCTGTTTTAACTATGTGGGACGGCCGGATCGACCGAAGAAAGCGAAAATCCAGCGCCTCTGCTCAAAGGAAACCTCTCCTCCCTACCTCCCTGTCCTCTCCGGTTCCTCTCTCCATCCCTGCCTCAGCTCCTTTCCATGTGTCCCCTCCTTTTCTGCCTTCTCCAGTATTGTCCCCGTCACATCATCCCTCACTCCCTTCTTCTCCGTCCTTCCCTGCCCCATTACCCCCTCCCAGACGCCACTCCATCCATCCCGTCTCCATCCCCTCATCCTGTCTTGCTCACTCTCCTTCTTTTGTCGTCATTTCTTCAGCCCATCCTTCCCACCGATCTCCCATCCAGCATTCCCCATCCTTCCCTGTTCCTGCTCCAAGGCCTACCCCAGTCATCCAGCCTTCCCGTCATCCTTTTCCATCAGCCACACTTGCCTTGTCTCCTTCCTCCTTGCGTCCTCCCCTTCATCCCTCTGTGTCTTCCTCTTTTTCTTCTGCTGACCATCGGGGTGTCTCTGTGTCCCAGGAGCTGCACAGGAGATATGAAGCAGCTCCAGAATCAACGAAGACCAAGGCCCTGCAGACTGTTATCGAAATGAAGGTAAACGTCTGGATAATCAATTTAATTTCATATCTTTATTTCATTTGTAAATTAAAGCTGATATTTTTCTGTTATTAGATGAACCATCTAAGTCTTCCTGGAACATGAAATCAAATAAAAAATAATCCTGGTAATAAAAAGCAATGCAGAGGCATCAATAAGTGTTTGAAACACTAATACCGGTAGTAGGTTTTGTGATAAAAAGCTATCATTTACTTCCAAACAATCTTTAGCTACTCTAATTTGGTATTTTATATGTTCAATTCAGCCCAAAAGCTGAGATTAAATGTTAAAATATAGAAATGAAAACACAGAAACAAAGCTGCTCAAGTCTGCAGATTTTTAAACATTCTGGAACACTTTATGATTTATTTAGTTTTCCTCAGTTGCATTAAATCTGTTTAGTCTAAAAGAAATCACGGCCAGATAAGGAGGATCTTATGGTACAATAAAATCCGTCTGGAGAAGGGTACCACACACAATGCATGGAGTTATCTCTGCAGCAGATCACAATAAAGACATTCATCAATGACTAGAAGACAATTTGGACAATGCTGTCGTTGCAAGAATGGAATTTCATTAAAAATACAAGGGATAGTCGGTGAGGCTGCTAAGAGGTCGGCTGCATCACTGAGGAGGCTGCAGGAATTTCTGTGAAGCAGAGAAATATTTCTCTAGGGAGAATAAAAAGCCATGATGACAGTTATGGTCAAATCCCTACAGGTTTCTGCTGGAAAAGTGAAGAATATGAGAGTCAAAGCTTAAAACAATAAGAATGAAGGTTTTGAAATGTATCTAGGATGGTTGTGGACAATCTGATGAATTTGAAGAAAAATGATGATTTAAACCTGTCTTGTTTACAACATACGTTTTATGCAATATATTTGATCAAACGTTGCTGTAGATGAGATCAAACGTCCAGTGATTTAACAAACCTATTTTTATTATTTTTTCTTTCTTTTATCCGGCAGGATGCAAAGATCAGCTCTATGGAGCGCGGCATGAGGGAGCTGGAGGAGGAGGTGATGATGCTGAAGTCCAACGGAGCTCTGAGCAGCGAGGAGAGGGAGGAGGAGATCAAACAGATGGAGGTCTACAGATCCCACTCCAAGTTTATGAAGAACAAGGTGATCAATGCATTAAAACGCATTACCTCCTATTTAGGGGAAACAAATGAACATTTAATATTTTCTCACTTGTATTTAGTCAGTTTAGCAGTTTGACATTTATGGTGAGCTAACTGGCTATAAACTGTGAAAGGCAGCAGTTTCTTTTTAGTGCAGTTATGCCTTCATGGAGTTTGGTTTAGATTATGTGCGCCGTACCTGAGGATGTGTTATACTGTTTACAACGATAATATTAATGGTTTCATTGATCTGTTTGAGAGAAATCCAATAACACAGACGTCCAGACAACGTTTATGATTCTCGTTCTTCATCCTGACATCCCTGGGAATGTGATGCCTGGTCCAACTGGGTCAGATTTATGCTTCCATTTCTTCTGAAATATCATGTGGGGGTGTAAATCACAGAGCACACACATCCACAGTGATCAGAAGCAGAGGAGCTTGAAAGGCTGATATATTATAGAAATAATGATGCGTCTCATAGAGATGTGTTTCTAGAGACAAAGACGTTTGAATTAACTTAATAAAAATAAAAATAGAAAATGTAAGGCTGCTTAAATTACTTTAATTAACTTTTTGCTTCTCTGTTCTAATTTTTTCTTTTAACTCCAGTAAAAGCTGTTTTTTATTTCTGACATTTTTGCTGCTCTTTTATTTTGTGCAACATTTACAAGCTGGGTGTCATGATCAGGGCTCCTCCTCTTCCTACCATCACAGCTGATTATAAAGAGCTGAGATATGAGGGAAAAGTCTAAGTATAGCTGAAGGCCACGAAGCCGGGCCTCATAATAAGTAGCCTCCATGACCCTTAAACCCCCTCCTCTCCTGCCAGGTGGAACAGCTAAAGGAAGAGCTAACTCACAGCCAATCAGAGAAGGAGGAGCTGAAGCAACGAGCCAATGAGCTCCAGCAGGAGGTGTCTGCAGTAAGAGAAGCACCTCTGTCCTTCCTTTCTTCCTTCCTTCCTTCCTTCCTTAGGCTTGATTAGTCTCTCTCAGTAGAATCGCAGCTCTACGATGTGTGGGGACGGCTGTAAGCAGCGATCGCTCAGATCTCACAGCAGCACTGTAATAAGTCGGCACATTATAAAGTTCTGCATGCACTCTCTGATTAAATCGCTGCCACTGCTCCATCAGAAGCACTGCATCATTTCTAATGCAAATGAAGTTGGAGAAAATTCCCCTTATCAGTTTTTTTTTCAATCTTATATAAAAAAACACACTTGCAGAGCTGCTGCTTAAACAGAGCGTATTACACCACTGTGGGTGGGATCTGTAGCATTTTGACTCTGTTTCTGTAGTGTGAGTGAAATAGCTGCTTAACAGACTTCTGCAGATTTTCATCTCTAACCTGCATCTCTTTCTTCTTGAATGACCTATCGAGTGGATCCGTTTGCTGATGAACTCCATTCTGTTATCTACAACCAATATCTCTAAAAGGTTTGGTTCGATTCTCTTCTGAAGCCTTCATCGTGTAGAATAAGGGGTTAATCAGCGGATTAACTGAAGTTTATAATTCTTATAATTTGAACATTTCTTACTGTAAATAGGAGGATTTAGTTTTTATGTTACAGTAGCATCAACTATTTACCTCTGGGTTTGAGGTAAGACTTCCAACCCAAAGATGGCTTCAGAACAGAATAGAACCAGACCTCATTTTAACTGTAGAGCAAAGTTATTGACTGACTTCCATGTGTTTCTAACTCTTCTCCTTTTAGCAAAAAGGAAATGATCAAAATAAATAGATGCTTCATAACTAACTTGTTTATAAGCCAACTATGGAGATCCTATTTCTTTCAGTCGGACTTTTGCTTTAGACCGTTAAACAATAGTACAAAATGTCATGTCAATGAATAATTTGAACTGTTCTTTTGCAGTGATGGGCTAATGAAACAACAAACAAGTTTTTAAAAACAGGGATTTGACATAAACTGTTTATTATTGTAGGATTTCTCTGTAGATGTTCCCTGTTTTATTTGCTTATTACTTCAAACAAAAGTTTGAGAATTTGTCTTGACGTCAGCAAACTTCCAGTGGAATGTTTGGTTTACTAACTCTTCTGGGGCAAATTAGTGGAGCTCATTTCTGTTGTCTAGGTTTTATGGCAGAGGACTCGGACCATCCAGCTGGTTTATCTAATCTAAAACCAGTTTTTGTGTTTTCAAAATTAATTTGTTTGAGCCAAAGTCCGACCTCTAATGACAAGATGGTCGGACCCTAAACTGTAAGATGATGAAATGTTTATGTCTCTGTAAAGTGTGAAGCCAGTTTACCATCTACATAGACTGTAAGGATTCTAAAATCAGGGAAATAATGACCTCCCAGCAAAACAAATGATTGTAACTGGCATAAATTAACAAATTGTTAATATTTATTAATATTAATTATTGAAGTTGTTTGTTGCATAACAAGACCTCTCAAAAATAAAAGCATGGAAGACCTGCAGTGAATTTTAACATGAATGAATATCATAAAGAGACTGTTTAATGTTCTAAAGCAAACATTTCATATTGTTCCTGTCCTTCCTCCGTGTTTCCCAGATGGAGCAGGCAAAGCAGGAGCTGAGTCGTAAAGACAGCGAGCTGCTGGCTCTCAGGACCAAACTGGAAACTTTAAACAATCAGTTTTCTGACAGCAAACAGCATGTGGACGTACTCAAAGAGTCACTCACCGCCAAGGAGCAGAGAGCTGCCATACTTCAGACCGAGGTAAACCTTTTATTTCTCACTTACCGCCGTTTATTCGTGTTTGATCTGTGCTTTATTTCTACTAGCTGGATCTTGTTTCTACTCAGGTGGATGCTCTGCGTCTCCGTCTGGAAGAAAAGGAGTCTCTCCTCTCAAAAAAGAGTCAGCAGATCTCGGAGCTGACGGAGGAGAAAAGCACTCAGCAAGGAGAGATCACTGATCTCAAAGACATGCTGGATGTTAAGGAGCGCAAAGTTAATGTGCTACAGAAAAAGGTGAGGAGCCTCATCCTGTGCATCCAACAAACCCTTTAAACTGATATCTGGAGAGAATTTCTAATTTTTATTTTTAATCAGACACATGCGAGGTAAATGGACAGGTGTGCTCCCAAAGCTGCTGCATCTGTGATTGTGCACATCTTTGCCCTCAGTCCACTTTTGCAAACTAAGAGAATTCACAAATACAGTAAAGTTAAACCTTAAATGTAAGGAAACTACATGGGAAAATAAGTTAAGCTGACAGCATTAAGGATTGGGTGCTGTAAAAGAAAGCAAGAAACAAACTGAATAGATCAAATCAGTTAAGAGACTCTACGTTGAGTAGCTAAACAAGAGCAAACCCACTAGCAACCCACCAGCTATTTAAAATGTCTTAACCCTTTATGGGGCAATTTTACATTTTTTATTCACTTGTATATATCACTAATGAATGGAGTCCCTCCATCTGTCAGTGAAGTCTAGAAGCACAATATATATCCAGCTATTCAGCAAAGATTCACATAATTTTGGTATTTGA